CAAGCGCTTCGGCATGGATGAGTGCAAGAGCCACGCGTAAGTCAGTCGACTGGCACTCAACATGTCGCAAGCAGCAAGCGTGGAAATCGACGTTCCGTTATCCCGAAGCTGTTGGAGCTTTGATACCTGCGCAGGCGACTGCGACGCGCCAGACCATTGCGTATGCTGTGGGGTACGTCTCGCGCTTCATGGAGAATCCGCAGCAAGAACATTGGACGGCGGTAGCGGATCTTTCGTTCCTTGCAAGGACCAAGTCGCGGGACTCCTTCCAGCCAAGCGACAAGATCGACTTTCGTGGCACTCTCGGACGCGGACTGGGCCGGCGACCACGCTGATCGCAAGTCGACTTCGGGTCACACTTTCATGCTGATGGGTGCTCCTGTGAGTTGGGGAAGCAAGAAGCAGTCAAGTGTGTCGCTGTCGACGAGTGAAGCGGAATACATCGCACTGAGTCTGGCCATCCAGGAAGGCAAGTGGGTGCATCGCCTGCTATGCGAGATTTTGGCGGCCGCAAACGAACCAGGACCGGACCTCGTCATCCGTGAAGACAACCAGTCGTGCATCAAGATGACGAAGAATCCAGTGAATCATGGCCGCGCCAAGCACATCGACATCAAGTACCATCACATCCGTGATGAGGTCAAGCTTGCGGTGAAGTGAAGCCTCGAGTATTGCGAGACTTCCGTGATGATGGCGGACATCATGACCAAGGGACTTTCGGGACCTCGTCACAGAGACTTGACGACGGCTCTCGGCATTCGTGCGAGTTCGGATTGAGGGGCATGTTGACGGTCATCACGTTTTTCTACCAGTATTGGTAACCGTGACCGGTCAATCGAACCGCCTGTTCAGCTTAGTATTTACGACCGTAGTTCTTACGGTAATTACCATAGTTGATTAGACGCGTAGGATGATGAGACGCTTCACATAATTTATATGTACACCGCATATAAATCATGTAGTAAGTAGTAAGTCCCGATAATCAATCACTTTCGAATCTTCCATCTACCCCCAAGTGTCTTCTCCGGTCTTCCGAGTGGACTCCCACCATCACTCCCAGTTTCGGTCGTCAAGCTTTTTTTGCAATCAACACAACCGTCACCAGAAACGACGATCAAGTGCTCCAGAAACGATGTCTGATGACGAAGAAGATGCAAGCGTCTACGATCAAGATGACGACTCGACGCCTCCAACATTTTGGCGTGGAAGTGCAAACGCAGTGGAAGCAACGGACCTAGCAGAACCTGTGACTTTTCAAGACTCGATCAATGGTCCTGATCAAGCTCACTGGCGAAATGCTGTAGAAGGCGGAACTCAAGTCGATGCATCTTCGTGGAGTTTTCCGTGCGGCAAAACTGCCAAGAGGCCAAAGGCGCGATCGGCACCAAGTGGGTGTTCAAGATCAAGCGCAAAGCGGATGGATCGGTCGAGAAATACAAGGCGCGTCTCGTTGCCAAGGGCTTCAAGCAGAAGTACGGCATCGACTACACAGAGACGTTCTCGCCCGTGGTCAAGTACGTGACACTGCGTATGGTGATCGCGATCACCAAGTATTTCGACTGGCCACTGGACCAACTCGATGTGGTGACAGCCTTTCTCTACGGAGTGATGAAGGAGAAGGTGTACTGCGTGATACCAGAAGGCGTCGAGATGGATGGCGACTTCGACTGTCTCGAGTTGGTGAAGGCGATCTACGGTCTCAAGCAAGCTTCACGTGTGTGGAACGAGACTTTCGACGAGTTCGTATGCTCCATCGGTTTCGAAGCGTCGGCGTTCGACCCATGTCTCTACATCAAGGTTGTCGACGGTCACTGTGTGCTCGTGCTGGTCTACGTGGATGACGTGTTGGTCACCGGCAGCTCGCTCGAGTTGATTGCGCAGACGAAGGCCGACCTCAAGACGCGTTTCGAGATGACCGACAGTGGCAAGTGTACTTTTGTACTGGGCATCGAACTGGTGGACGAATCGGATGGCAGCGTGACGATGTGCCAGCGACGGTATGTCAACGACATCCTCAAGCGCTTCGGCATGGATGAGTGCAAGGCCACAGCAAGTCCGGTCGACTTGAGCACTCGGCTTGTCGCAAGCAGCGAAGCGGCCAAGATCGACGTTCCGTTTCGTGAAGCTGTGGGAGCTTTGATGCACTTGACGACTGCGACGCGCCCGGACATTGCGTATGCTGTGGGGTACGTCTCGCGCTTCATGGAGAATCCGCAGCAAGAACATTGGACGGCGGTGAAGCGCATCTTTCGTTACTTGCAAGGGACCAAGTCGCACGGACTCCGCTTCCAGCCAAGCGACAAGATCGACTTTCGTGGCTACTCGGACGCGGACTGGGCCGGCGACCACGCTGATCGCAAGTCGACTTCGGGTTACACTTTCATGCTGATGGGTGCTCCTGTGAGTTGGGGAAGCAAGAAGCAGTCAAGTGTGTCGCTGTCGACGAGTGAAGCGGAATACATCGCACTGAGTCTGGCCATCCAGGAAGGCAAGTGGGTGCATCGCCTGCTATGCGAGATTTTGGCGGCCGCAAACGAACCAGGACCGGACCTCGTCATCCGTGAAGACAACCAGTCGTGCATCAAGATGACGAAGAATCCGGTGAATCATGGCCGCGCCAAGCACATCGACATCAAGTACCATCACATCCGTGATGAGGTCAAGCGCGGTGAAGTGCAGCTCGAGTATTGCGAGACTTCCGTGATGATGGCGGACATCATGACCAAGGGACTTTCGGGACCTCGTCACAAGGACTTGACGACGGCTCTCGGCATTCGTGCGAGTTCGGATTGAGGGGGCGTGTTGACGGTCATCGTTTTTCTACCAGTATTGGTAACCGTGACCGGTCCAATCCGAACCGCCTGTTCAGATTAGTATTTACGACGTAGTTCTTACGGTAATTACCATAGTTGATTAGACGCGTAGGATGATGAGATACTTCACATGATTTATATGTGCACCACATATAAATCATGTAGTAAGTAGTAAGCCCCGATAATCAATCACTTTCCAATCTTCCATCTACCCCCAAGTGTCTTCTCCGGTCTTCCGAGTGGACTCCCACCATCACTACCAGTTTCGGTCGTCAAGCTTTTTACCAATCAACACAACCGTCACCAGAAACGACGATCAAGTGCTCCAGAAACGATGTCTGATGACGAAGAAGATGCAAGCGTCTACGATCAAGATGACGACTCGACGCCTCCAACATTTTGGCGTGCAAGTGCAAACGCAGTGGAAGCAACGGACCTAGCAGAACCTGTGACTTTTCAAGACGCGATCAATGGTCCTGATCAAGCTCACTGGCGAAATGCTGTGAAGGCGGAACTCAAGTCGATGCATCTTCGTGGAGTTTTCCGTGCGGCAAAACTGCCAAGAGGCCAAGGCGCGATCGGCACCAAGTGGGTGTTCAAGATCAAGCGCAAAGCGGATGGATCGGTCGAGAAATACAAGGCGCGTCTCGTTGCCAAGGGCTTCAAGCAGAAGTACGGCATCGACTACACAGAGACGTTCTCGCCCGTGGTCAAGTACGTGACACTGCGTATGGTGATCGCGATCACCAAGTATTTCGACTGGCCACTGGACCAACTCGATGTGGTGACAGCCTTTCTCTACGGAGTGATGAAGGAGAAGGTGTACTGCGTGATACCAGAAGGCGTCGAGATGGATGGCGACTTCGACTGTCTCGAGTTGGTGAAGGCGATCTACGGTCTCAAGCAAGCTTCACGTGTGTGGAACGAGACTTTCGACGAGTTCGTATGCTCCATCGGTTTCGAAGCGTCGGCGTTCGACCCATGTCTCTACATCAAGGTTGTCGACGGTCACTGTGTGCTCGTGCTGGTCTACGTGGATGACGTGTTGGTCACCGGCAGCTCGCTCGAGTTGATTGCGCAGACGAAGGCCGACCTCAAGACGCGTTTCGAGATGACCGACAGTGGCAAGTGTACTTTGTACTGGGCATCGAACTGGTGGACGAATCGGATGGCAGCGTGACGATGTGCCAGCGACGGTATGTCAACGACATCCTCAAGCGCTTCGGCATGGATGAGTGCAAGGCCACAGCAAGTCCGGTCGACTTGGGCACTCGGCTTGTCGCAAGCAGCGAAGCGGCCAAGATCGACGTTCCGTTTCGTGAAGCTGTGGGAGCTTTGATGCACTTGACGACTGCGACGCGCCCGGACATTGCGTATGCTGTGGGGTACGTCTCGCGCTTCATGGAGAATCCGCAGCAAGAACATTGGACGGCGGTGAAGCGCATCTTTCGTTACTTGCAAGGGACCAAGTCGCACGGACTCCGCTTCCAGCCAAGCGACAAGATCGACTTTCGTGGCTACTCGGACGCGGACTGGGCCGGCGACCACGCTGATCGCAAGTCGACTTCGGGTTACACTTTCATGCTGATGGGTGCTCCTGTGAGTTGGGGAAGCAAGAAGCAGTCAAGTGTGTCGCTGTCGACGAGTGAAGCGGAATACATCGCACTGAGTCTGGCCATCCAGGAAGGCAAGTGGGTGCATCGCCTGCTATGCGAGATTTTGGCGGCCGCAAACGAACCAGGACCGGACCTCGTCATCCGTGAAGACAACCAGTCGTGCATCAAGATGACGAAGAATCCGGTGAATCATGGCCGCGCCAAGCACATCGACATCAAGTACCATCACATCCGTGATGAGGTCAAGCGCGGTGAAGTGAAGCTCGAGTATTGCGAGACTTCCGTGATGATGGCGGACATCATGACCAAGGGACTTTCGGGACCTCGTCACAAGGACTTGACGACGGCTCTCGGCATTCGTGCGAGTTCGGATTGAGGGGGCGTGTTGACGGTCATCGTTTTTCTACCAGTATTGGTAACCGTGACCGGTCCAATCCGAACCGCCTGTTCAGCTTAGTATTTACGACGTAGTTCTTACGGTAATTACCATAGTTGATTAGACGCGTAGGATGATGAGACGCTTCACATAATTTATATGTACACCACATATAAATCATGTAGTAAGTAGTAAGTCCCGATAATCAATCACTTTCGAATCTTCCATCTACCCCCCAAGTGTCTTCTCCGGTCTTCCGAGTGGACTCCCACCATCACTCCCAGTTTCGGTCGTCAAGCTTTTTACCAATCAACACAACCGTCACCAGAAACGACGATCAAGTGCTCCAGAAACGATGTCTGATGACGAAGAAGATGCAAGCGTCTACGATCAAGATGACGACTCGACGCCTCCAACATTTTGGCGTGCAAGTGCAAACGCAGTGGAAGCAACGGACCTAGCAGAACCTGTGACTTTTCAAGACGCGATCAATGGTCCTGATTAAGCTCACTGGCGAAATGCTGTATAGGCGGAACTCAAGTCGATGCATCTTCGTGGAGTTTTCCGTGCGGCAAAACTGCCAAGAGGCCAAGGCGCGATCGGCACCAAGTGGGTGTTCAAGATCAAGCGCAAAGCGGATGGATCGGTCGAGAAATACAAGGCGCGTCTCGTTGCCAAGGGCTTCAAGCAGAAGTACGGCATCGACTACACAGAGACGTTCTCGCCCGTGGTCAAGTACGTGACACTGCGTATGGTGATCGCGATCACCAAGTATTTCGACTGGCCACTGGACCAACTCGATGTGGTGACAGCCTTTCTCTACGGAGTGATGAAGGAGAAGGTGTACTGTGTGATACCAGAAGGCGTCGAGATGGATGGCGACTTCGACTGTATCGAGTTGGTGAAGGCGATCTACGGTCTCAAGCAAGCTTCACGTGTGTGGAACGAGACTTTCGACGAGTTCGTATGCTTTATCGGTTTCGAAGTGTCGGCGTTCGACCCATGTCTCTACATCAAGGTTGTCGACGGTCACTGTGTGCTCGTGCTGGTCTACGTGGATGACGTGTTGGTCAACGGCAGCTCGCTCGAGTTGATTGCGCAGACGAAGGCCGACCTCAAGACGCGTTTCGAGATGACCGACAGTGGCAAGTGTACTTTTGCACTGGGCATCGAACTGGTGGACGAATCGGATGGCAGCGTGACGATGTGCCAGCGACGGTATGTCAACGACATCCTCAAGCGCTTCGGCATGGATGAGTGCAAGGCCACAGCAAGTCCGGTCGACTTGGGCACTCGGCTTGTCGCAAGCAGCGAAGCGGCCAAGATCGACGTTCCGTTTCGTGAAGCTGTGGGAGCTTTGATGCACTTGACGACTGCGACGCGCCCGGACATTGCGTATGCTGTGGGGTACGTCTCGCGCTTCATGGAGAATCCGCAGCAAGAACATTGGACGGCGGTGAAGCGCATCTTTCGTTACTTGCAAGGGACCAAGTCGCACGGACTCCGCTTCCAGCCAAGCGACAAGATCGACTTTCGTGGCTACTCGGACGCGGACTGGGCCGGCGACCACGCTGATCGCAAGTCGACTTCGGGTTACACTTTCATGCTGATGGGTGCTCCTGTGAGTTGGGGAAGCAAGAAGCAGTCAAGTGTGTCGCTGTCGACGAGTGAAGCGGAATACATCGCACTGAGTCTGGCCATCCAGGAAGGCAAGTGGGTGCATCGCCTGCTATGCGAGATTTTGGCGGCCGCAAACGAACCAGGACCGGACCTCGTCATCCGTGAAGACAACCAGTCGTGCATCAAGATGACGAAGAATCCGGTGAATCATGGCCGCGCCAAGCACATCGACATCAAGTACCATCACATCCGTGATGAGGTCAAGCGCGGTGAAGTGAAGCTCGAGTATTGCGAGACTTCCGTGATGATGGCGGACATCATGACCAAGGGACTTTCGGGACCTCGTCACAAGGACTTGACGACGGCTCTCGGCATTCGTGCGAGTTCGGATTGAGGGGGCGTGTTGACGGTCATCGTTTTTCTACCAGTATTGGTAACCGTGACCGGTCCAATCCGAACCGCCTGTTCAGATTAGTATTTACGACGTAGTTCTTACGGTAATTACCATAGTTGATTAGACGCGTAGGATGATGAGACGCTTCACATGATTTATATGTGCACCACATATAAATCATGTAGTAAGTAGTAAGCCCCGATAATCAATCACTTTCCAATCTTCCATCTACCCCCCAAGTGTCTTCTCCGGTCTTCCGAGTGGACTCCCACCATCACTCCCAGTTTCGGTCGTCAAGCTTTTTACCAATCAACACAACCGTCACCAGAAACGACGATCAAGTGCTCCAGAAACGATGTCTGATGACGAAGAAGATGCAAGCGTCTACGATCAAGATGACGACTCGACGCCTCCAACATTTTGGCGTGCAAGTGCAAACGCAGTGGAAGCAACGGACCTAGCAGAACCTGTGACTTTTCAAGACGCGATCAATGGTCCTGATCAAGCTCACTGGCGAAATGCTGTATAGGCGGAACTCAAGTCGATGCATCTTCGTGGAGTTTTCCGTGCGGCAAAACTGCCAAGAGGCCAAGGCGCGATCGGCACCAAGTGGGTGTTCAAGATCAAGCGCAAAGCGGATGGATCGGTCGAGAAATACAAGGCGCGTCTCGTTGCCAAGGGCTTCAAGCAGAAGTACGGCATCGACTACACAGAGACGTTCTCGCCCGTGGTCAAGTACGTGACACTGCGTATGGTGATCGCGATCACCAAGTATTTCGACTGGCCACTGGACCAACTCGATGTGGTGACAGCCTTTCTCTACGGAGTGATGAAGGAGAAGGTGTACTGCGTGATACCAGAAGGCGTCGAGATGGATGGCGACTTCGACTGTCTCGAGTTGGTGAAGGCGATCTACGGTCTCAAGCAAGCTTCACGTGTGTGGAACGAGACTTTCGACGAATTCGTATGCTCCATCGGTTTCGAAGCGTCGGCGTTCGACCCATGTCTCTACATCAAGGTTGTCGACGGTCACTGTGTGCTCGTGCTGGTCTACGTGGATGACGTGTTGGTCACCGGCAGCTCGCTCGAGTTGATTGCGCAGACGAAGGCCGACCTCAAGACGCGTTTCGAGATGACCGACAGTGGCAAGTGTACTTTTGTACTGGGCATCGAACTGGTGGACGAATCGGATGGCAGCGTGACGATGTGCCAGCGACGGTATGTCAACGACATCCTCAAGCGCTTCGGCATGGATGAGTGCAAGGCCACAGCAAGTCCGGTCGACTTGGGCACTCGGCTTGTCGCAAGCAGCGAAGCGGCCAAGATCGACGTTCCGTTTCGTGAAGCTGTGGGAGCTTTGATGCACTTGACGACTGCGACGCGCCCGGACATTGCGTATGCTGTGGGGTACGTCTCGCGCTTCATGGAGAATCCGCAGCAAGAACATTGGACGGCGGTGAAGCGCATCTTTCGTTACTTGCAAGGGACCAAGTCGCACGGACTCCGCTTCCAGCCAAGCGACAAGATCGACTTTCGTGGCTACTCGGACGCGGACTGGGCCGGCGACCACGCTGATCGCAAGTCGACTTCGGGTTACACTTTCATGCTGATGGGTGCTCCTGTGAGTTGGGGAAGCAAGAAGCAGTCAAGTGTGTCGCTGTCGACGAGTGAAGCGGAATACATCGCACTGAGTCTGGCCATCCAGGAAGGCAAGTGGGTGCATCGCCTGCTATGCGAGATTTTGGCGGCCGCAAACGAACCAGGACCGGACCTCGTCATCCGTGAAGACAACCAGTCGTGCATCAAGATGACGAAGAATCCGGTGAATCATGGCCGCGCCAAGCACATCGACATCAAGTACCATCACATCCGTGATGAGGTCAAGCGCGGTGAAGTGAAGCTCGAGTATTGCGAGACTTCCGTGATGATGGCGGACATCATGACCAAGGGACTTTCGGGACCTCGTCACAAGGACTTGACGACGGCTCTCGGCATTCGTGCGAGTTCGGATTGAGGGGGCGTGTTGACGGTCATCGTTTTTCTACCAGTATTGGTAACCGTGACCGGTCCAATCCGAACCGCCTGTTCAGCTTAGTATTTACGACGTAGTTCTTACGGTAATTACCATAGTTGATTAGACGCGTAGGATGATGAGACGCTTCACATAATTTATATGTACACCACATATAAATCATGTAGTAAGTAGTAAGTCCCGATAATCAATCACTTTCGAATCTTCCATCTACCCCCCAAGTGTCTTCTCCGGTCTTCCGAGTGGACTCCCACCATCACTCCCAGTTTCGGTCGTCAAGCTTTTTACCAATCAACACAACCGTCACCAGAAACGACGATCAAGTGCTCCAGAAACGATGTCTGATGACGAAGAAGATGCAAGCGTCTACGATCAAGATGACGACTCGACGCCTCCAACATTTTGGCGTGCAAGTGCAAACGCAGTGGAAGCAACGGACCTAGCAGAACCTGTGACTTTTCAAGACGCGATCAATGGTCCTGATTAAGCTCACTGGCGAAATGCTGTATAGGCGGAACTCAAGTCGATGCATCTTCGTGGAGTTTTCCGTGCGGCAAAACTGCCAAGAGGCCAAGGCGCGATCGGCACCAAGTGGGTGTTCAAGATCAAGCGCAAAGCGGATGGATCGGTCGAGAAATACAAGGCGCGTCTCGTTGCCAAGGGCTTCAAGCAGAAGTACGGCATCGACTACACAGAGACGTTCTCGCCCGTGGTCAAGTACGTGACACTGCGTATGGTGATCGCGATCACCAAGTATTTCGACTGGCCACTGGACCAACTCGATGTGGTGACAGCCTTTCTCTACGGAGTGATGAAGGAGAAGGTGTACTGTGTGATACCAGAAGGCGTCGAGATGGATGGCGACTTCGACTGTATCGAGTTGGTGAAGGCGATCTACGGTCTCAAGCAAGCTTCACGTGTGTGGAACGAGACTTTCGACGAGTTCGTATGCTTTATCGGTTTCGAAGTGTCGGCGTTCGACCCATGTCTCTACATCAAGGTTGTCGACGGTCACTGTGTGCTCGTGCTGGTCTACGTGGATGACGTGTTGGTCACCGGCAGCTCGCTCGAGTTGATTGCGCAGACGAAGGCCGACCTCAAGACGCGTTTCGAGATGACCGACAGTGGCAAGTGTACTTTTGTACTGGGCATCGAACTGGTGGACGAATCGGATGGCAGCGTGACGATGTGCCAGCGACGGTATGTCAACGACATCCTCAAGCGCTTCGGCATGGATGAGTGCAAGGCCACAGCAAGTCCGGTCGACTTGGGCACTCGGCTTGTCGCAAGCAGCGAAGCGGCCAAGATCGACGTTCCGTTTCGTGAAGCTGTGGGAGCTTTGATGCACTTGACGACTGCGACGCGCCCGGACATTGCGTATGCTGTGGGGTACGTCTCGCGCTTCATGGAGAATCCGCAACAAGAACATTGGACGGCGGTGAAGCGCATCTTTCGTTACTTGCAAGGGACCAAGTCGCACGGACTCCGCTTCCAGCCAAGCGACAAGATCGACTTTCGTGGCTACTCGGACGCGGACTGGGCCGGCGACCACGCTGATCGCAAGTCGACTTCGGGTTACACTTTCATGCTGATGGGTGCTCCTGTGAGTTGGGGAAGCAAGAAGCAGTCAAGTGTGTCGCTGTCGACGAGTGAAGCGGAATACATCGCACTGAGTCTGGCCATCCAGGAAGGCAAGTGGGTGCATCGCCTGCTATGCGAGATTTTGGCGGCCGCAAACGAACCAGGACCGGACCTCGTCATCCGTGAAGACAATCAATCGTGCATCAAGATGGCGAATAATCCTGTCAAACATGGCCGTGACAAGCACGTCGACATCAAATACCATCACATCCGTGATGAGGTCAAGCGCGGCGAAGTTAAGCTCAAGTACTGTGAGACTACGGCGATGTTGGCAGACATCATGACCAAGGGACTTTCGGGACCTCGTCACAAGGACTTGACGACGGCTCTCGGCATTCGTGCGAGTTCGGATTGAGGGGGCGTGTTGACGGTCATCGGTTTCTACCAGTATTGGTAACCGTGACCGGTCCAATCCGAACCGCCTGTTCAGCTTGGTATTTACGACGTAGTTCTTACGGTAATTACCATAGTTGATTAGACGCGTAGGATGATGAGACGCTTCACATGATTTATATGTGCACCACATATAAATCATGTAGTAAGTAGTAAGCCCCGATAATCAATCACTTTCCAATCTTCCATCTACCCCCCAAGTGTCTTCTCCGGTCTTCCGAGTGGACTCCCACCATCACTCCCAGTTTCGGTCGTCAAGCTTTTTACCAATCAACACAACCGTCACCAGAAACGACGATCAAGTGCTCCAGAAACGATGTCTGATGACGAAGAAGATGCAAGCGTCTACGATCAAGATGACGACTCGACGCCTCCAACATTTTGGCGTGCAAGTGCAAACGCAGTGGAAGCAACGGACCTAGCAGAACCTGTGACTTTTCAAGACGCGATCAATGGTCCTGATTAAGCTCACTGGCGAAATGCTGTATAGGCGGAACTCAAGTCGATGCATCTTCGTGGAGTTTTCCGTGCGGCAAAACTGCCAAGAGGCCAAGGCGCGATCGGCACCAAGTGGGTGTTCAAGATCAAGCGCAAAGCGGATGGATCGGTCGAGAAATACAAGGCGCGTCTCGTTGCCAAGGGCTTCAAGCAGAAGTACGGCATCGACTACACAGAGACGTTCTCGCCCGTGGTCAAGTACGTGACACTGCGTATGGTGATCGCGATCACCAAGTATTTCGACTGGCCACTGGACCAACTCGATGTGGTGACAGCCTTTCTCTACGGAGTGATGAAGGAGAAGGTGTACTGCGTGATACCAGAAGGCGTCGAGATGGATGGCGACTTTGACTGTCTCGAGTTGGTGAAGGCGATCTACGGTCTCAAGCAAGCTTCACGTGTGTGGAACGAGACTTTCGACGAGTTCGTATGCTCCATCGGTTTCGAAGCGTCGGCGTTCGACCCATGTCTCTACATCAAGGTTGTCGACGGTCACTGTGTGCTCGTGCTGGTCTACGTGGATGACGTGTTGGTCAACGGCAGCTCGCTCGAGTTGATTGCGCAGACGAAGGCCGACCTCAAGACGCGTTTCGAGATGACCGACAGTGGCAAGTGTACTTTTGTACTGGGCATCGAACTGGTGGACGAATCGGATGGCAGCGTGACGATGTGCCAGCGACGGTATGTCAACGACATCCTCAAGCGCTTCGGCATGGACGAGTGCAAGGCCACAGCAAGTCCGGTCGACTTGAGCACTCGGCTTGTCGCAAGCAGCGAAGCGGCCAAGATCGACGTTCCGTTTCGTGAAGCTGTGGGAGCTTTGATGCACTTGACGACTGCGACGCGCCCGGACATTGCGTATGCTGTGGGGTACGTCTCGCGCTTCATGGAGAATCCGCAGCAAGAACATTGGACGGCGGTGAAGCGCATCTTTCGTTACTTGCAAGGGACCAAGTCGCACGGACTCCGCTTCCAGCCAAGCGACAAGATCGACTTTCGTGGCTACTCGGACGCGGACTGGGCCGGCGACCACGCTGATCGCAAGTCGACTTCGGGTTACACTTTCATGCTGATGGGTGCTCCTGTGAGTTGGGGAAGCAAGAAGCAGTCAAGTGTGTCGCTGTCGACGAGTGAAGCGGAATACATCGCACTGAGTCTGGCCATCCAGGAAGGCAAGTGGGTGCATCGCCTGCTATGCGAGATTTTGGCGGCCGCAAACGAACCAGGACCGGACCTCGTCATCCGTGAAGACAATCAATCGTGCATCAAGATGACGAATAATCCTGTCAACCATGGCCGTGCCAAGCACGTCGACATCAAGTACCATCACATCCGTGATGAGGTCAAGCGCGGCGAAGTCAAGCTCAAGTACTGTGAGACTACGGCGATGTTGGCAGACATCATGACCAAGGGACTTTCGGGACCTCGTCACAAGGACTTGACGACGGCTCTCGGCATTCGTGCGAGTTCGGATTGAGGGGGCGTGTTGACGGTCATCGGTTTCTACCAGTATTGGTAACCGTGACCGGTCCAATCCGAACCGCCTGTTCAGCCTAGTATTTACGACGTAGTTCTTACGGTAATTACCATAGTTGATTAGACGCGTAGGATGATGAGATACTTCACATGATTTATATGTGCACCACATATAAATCATGTAGTAAGTAGTAAGCCCCGATAATCAATCACTTTCCAATCTTCCATCTACCCCCCAAGTGTCTCCTCCGGTCTTCCGAGTGAACTCCCAGCATCACTCCCAATTTCGGTCGTCAAGCTTTTCACCCCTCAACACAAGTGGAACCAGTTGTGCCGACCTACATGCGAGAATGGGTCATGCTCCAGTCGATGTACTTCGCAAGATGATCGCGACCAACATGATCAAGGATGTGCGAGTCCCTCTCAAGTCGGGTGGAGCAACTACATGTCGAGGATGTCAACAAGGGAAAATCCAAAAACCATTTCCAAGCAACCGAGACAAGCGCAGCTACGATACGTTTGAGCTACTTCATCTGGACATCTGCAGGCCCATGGAAAAGGATTCGCTTGGTGGCAGCAAATATTTGCTGCTGATCATCGACGAAGCCAGTGGATGCATGAAGGGCTTTTGTCTACGAGTGAAGTCCGAGAGTGAAGACTACATCCGGAAATATATCACCATGGTACAGACGCAATTCTGTAAGAAGGTCAAGTTCGTGCGACACGACGGAGCTCGCGAGTTTGCAACCAACTCGCTTCAGCTGTTCTACAAAGACGAAGGCATTGAACAGCAGACAACGGTGCCGTATGCACATCAAACAAACGGAACAGCAGAGCGTGCCATTAGGACTATTGTCACGATCGGCCGCAGCATGCTTCATCATGCCAAACTGGACAAGTGTTTCTGGGCCGAAGCAGCGATGACGGCCATCTACGTCAAGAATCGACTGCCGTCACCTAAAGTCGTGCACAAGACCCCGTTTGAGATCGTCTACAACTTGAAACCAAGCGTCAAGCACATGCGAACATTCGGATGTCATACATACTGACGCCTAAAGAGAATCGACTCAAGTGGGATCCAAAGGCTCGCGCTGGCATATTCGTGGGCTACGAAGAAGTTTCGAAGGCATATCGTGTTTATGACATCGAGGCGGGGCAGGTGGTTATCAGCCGCGATGTCAACTTCGACGAGTCCACCTTTAGACTTCAACTGCCGATCACTGATGAAGATGTCGATGACCTGGACTTCGAATTGCTGGATCTTGATGACGAAGAGCTGCGTCAAATGGAGTACAAGCAAACAGGCAAGCGCAAGAATCGACTCAATGATGAAGATACAGCAGCTCCACGACCGCGTGCAGTGCGTCAACGACCAGGACTAGAAGAGTCAAACGCGCCGGAAAACAACTCGTCACGCCAAGAAGAAGACGAAGAAACGAAGGATTCTGGTGATTCAACACCGCCTGTGTTTTGGCGTGCGAGTGCAAATGCCGTTGAAGCAGCAGTGGACTTATCAGAGCCCTCAACATTTGAAGCAGCAGTAAGCGGCCCTGACCAAGTGCACTGGAGAAAAGCAATTCATGCAGAGCTCGAGTCAATGCGACTTCGCGGTGTGTTTCGTGCAGCCAAGCTGCCCAACGGACAACGCGCCATTGGCACAAAATGGGTGTTCAAGATCAAGCGTAAAGCGGATGGATCTATCGAGAAGTACAAGGCACGACTTGTGGCCAAGGGTTTCCGCCAAAAGTATGGCATCGACTACACGGAGACGTTTTCGCCTATGGTCAAGTATGTGACGCTGCGAATGGTGATCGCAATTTCCAAGCATTTTGGATGGCCCATCGACCAGCTTGATGTGGTGACAGCTTTCCTGTATGGCGTCATGAAGGAACAAGTGTTCTGCGTGATTCCTGAAGGCGTCGAACTTGACAGTACGTTCGACTGCCTGGAATTGGTGAAGTCAATTTACGGCCTCAAGCAAGCGTCGCGAGTGTGGAACGAGACGTTCGACGAGTATGTGTGCTCCATCGGATTTCAAGTATCGGACTTCGACCCATGTCTCTACATCAAGACTTCGGACGGCCATTGCGTGTTTATACTGGTCTACGTGGACGACGTCTTGGTGACTGGAAGCTCTCTCGAGCTGATTTTACAAACCAAGAACGACCTGAAGACGCGGTTCGAGATGACGGACAGCGGCAAGTGTGCGTTTGTTCTTGGGATCGAGCTTTTGGACGATGAAGATGGCAGTGTGACACTATGTCAGCGTCGGTATGTCGATGATATCCTCAAGCGCTTTGGCATGGATGATTGCAAGGCAGTCGCAAGTCCAGTCGACATGAGCTCTCGACTTGTTTCAAGTGATGCAACTACCAAGGTCGATGCTCCTTTTCGCGAAGCTGTTGGTGCGTTGATGCACCTGACCACTTCAACGCGTCCGGACATTGCGTTTGCTGTGGGCTATGTGTCGCGGTTCATGAAAAATCCCCAAGAAGAACACTGGGTTGCAGTTAAGCGTATCTTTCGCTACCTACAAGGCACTAAGACGCATGGAATTTGCTACAAGCCAAGTGCAAGGATCGACTTCCGTGGATATTCGGATGCGGATTGGGCTGGTGAACTTACCGACCGCAAGTCAACATCGGGGTACACGTTCATGCTACTCGGTGCGCCAGTGAGTTGGGGCAGCAAGAAGCAGCCAAGTGTTTCGTTGTCCACGACTGAAGCTGAATACATCGCACTCAGCTTGGCGATTCAAGAGGGCAAGTGGATTCATCGTCTGCTTTGTGAGATCGTGATGGCTGCCAATGAAGAAGGACCGGAACTCATGATTCATGAAGACAATCAGTCATGTATCAAGATGACGAAGAACCCGGTCAACCACGGCCGTGCCAAGCACATTGATATCAAGTACCATCACATCCGTGATGAGGTCAAGCGCGGTGAAGTGAAGCTCAAGTATTGTGAAACTGCGGTGATGTTAGCGGACATCATGACGAAGGGACTTCATGGACCACGCCACAAGGAGATGACGACGGCTCTCGGGATTCGTGAGCATTCGGATTGAGGGGGCGTGTTGACGGTCATCGGTTTTCTACCAGTGTTGGTAACCGTGACCGGTCCAATCCGAACCGCCTGTTCAGCCTAGTATTTACGACGTAGTTCTTACGGTAATAACCATAGTTGATTAGACGCGTAGGATGATGAGACGCTTCACATGATTTATATGTACACCACATATAAATCATGTAGTATAGTAAGTAAGTCCCGATAATCAATCACTTTCGAATCTTCCAACTATTGGGCAAGTGTTTTCTGCTCCACTCTCTTCGGTCTCTCCACTCCGTTAGCTCCGCTTTCCTCGCTCCGATCTACAATGCAACACACTTGTTCCTTCATGACGCCATACAGGAAAGCTGTCACACACCAAGCTGGTCGATGGGCCATCCAAAATGTTGGAAATTGCGATCACCATTCTCAGCGTCACATACTTGACCACAGGCGAAAACGTCTCCGTGTAGTTAATGCCATACTTTTGGCGGAAACCCTTGGCCACAAGTCGTGCCTTGTACTTCTCGATTGACCCATCCGCCTTGCGCTTGATCTTGAACACCCATTTTGTGCCAATGGCGCGTTGTCCGTTGGGCAGCTTGGCTGCACGAAACACACCGCGAAGTCGCATTGACTCGAGCTCTGCATGAATTGCTTTTCTCCAGTGCAATTGGTCAGGGCCGCTTACTGCTGCTTCAAATGTTGAGGGCTCTGATAAGTCCACTGCTGCTTCAACGGCATTTGCACTCGCACGCCGAAACACAGGCGGTGTTGAATCACCAGAATCCTTCGTTTCTTCGTCTTCTTCTTGGCGGGACGAGTTGTTTTCCGGCGCGCTTGACTCTTCTAGTCCTGGTCGTTGACGCACTGCACGCGGTCGTGGAGCTGCTGTATCTTCATCATTGAGTCGGTTCTTGCGCTTTGTTGCATTGTAGATCGGAGCGAGGAAAGCGGAGCGAACGGAGCGGAGAGACCGAAGAGAGTAGAGCAGAAAACACTTGCCCAATAGTTGGAAGATTCGAAAGTGATTGATTATCGGGGCTTACTACTTACTACATGATTTATATGTGGTGCACATATAAATCATGTGAAGTATCTCATCATCCTACGCGTCTAATCAACTATGGTAATTACCGTAAGAACTACGTCGTAAATACTAGGCTGAACAGGCGGTTCGGATTGGACCGGTCACGGTTACCAATACTGGTAGAAACCGATGACCGTCAACACGCCCCCTCAATCCGAACTCGCACGAATGCCGAGAGCCGTCGTCAAGTCCTTGTGACGAGGTCCCGAAAGTCCCTTGGTCATGATGTCCGCCATCATCACGGAAGTCTCGCAATACTCGAGCTGCACTTCCCCGCGCTTGACCTCATCACGGATGTGATGGTGCTTGATGTCGATGTGCTTGGCGCGGCCATGATTCACCGGATTCTTCGTCATCTTGATGCACGACTGGTTGTCTTCACGGATGACGAGGTCCGGCCCTGGTTCGTTTGCGGCCGCCAAAATCTCGCATAGCAGGCGATGCACCCACTTGCCTTCCTGGATGGCCAGACTCAGTGCGATGTATTCCGCTTCACTCGTCGACAGCGACATACTTGACTGCTTCTTGCTTCCCCAACTCACAGGAGCACCCATCAGCATGAAAGTGTAACCCGAAGTCGACTTGCGATCAGCGTGGTCGCCGGCCCAGTCCGCGTCCGAGTAGCCACGAAAGTCGATCTTGTCGCTTGGCTGGAAGCGGAGTCCGTGCGACTTGGTCCCTTGCAAGTAACGAAAGATGCGCTTCACCGCCGTCCAATGTTCTTGCTGCGGATTCTCCATGAAGCGCGAGACGTACCCCCACAGCATACGCAATGTCCGGGCGCGTCGCAGTCGTCAAGTGCATCAAAGCTCCCACAGCTTCACGAAACGGAACGTCGATCTTGGCCGCTTCGCTGCTTGCGACAAGCCGAGTGCCCAAGTCGACCGGACTTGCTGTGGCCTTGCACTCATCCATGCCGAAGCGCTTGAGGATGTCGTTGACATACCGTCGCTGGCACATCGTCACGCTGCCATCCGATTCGTCCACCAGTTCGATGCCCAGTACAAAAGTACACTTGCCACTGTCGGTCATCTCGAAACGCGTCTTGAGGTCGGCCTTCGTCTGCGCAATCAACTCGAGCGAGCTGCCGTTGACCAACACGTCATCCACGTAGACCAGCACGAGCACACAGTGACCGTCGACAACCTTGATGTAGAGACATGGGTCGAACGCCGACGCTTCGAAACCGATGGAGCATACGAATTCGTCGAAAGTCTCGTTCCACACACGTGAAGCTTGCTTGAGACCGTAGATCGCCTTCACCAACTCGAGACAGTCAAAGTCGCCATCCATCTCGACGCCTTCTGGTATCACGCAGTACACCTTCTCCTTCATCACTCCGTAGAGAAAGGCTGTCACCACATCGAGTTGGTCCAGTGGCCAGTCGAAATACTTGGTGATCGCGATCACCATACGCAGTGTCACGTACTTGACCACGGGCGAGAACGTCTCTGTGTAGTCGATGCCGTACTTCTGCTTGAAGCCCTTGGCAACGAGACGCGCCTTGTATTTCTCGACCGATCCATCCGCTTTGCGCTTGATCTTGAACACCCACTTGGTGCCGATCGCGCCTTGGCCTCTTGGCAGTTTTGCCGCACGGAAAACTCCACGAAGATGCATCGACTTGAGTTCCGCCTATACAGCATTTCGCCAGTGAGCTTAATCAGGACCATTGATCGCGTCTTGAAAAGTCACAGGTTCTGCTAGGTCCGTTGCTTCCACTGCGTTTGCACTTGCACGCCAAAATGTTGGAGGCGTCGAGTCGTCATCTTGATCGTAGTCGCTCGCATCTTCTTCGTCATCAGACATCGTTTCTGGAGCACTTGATCGTCGTTTCTGGTGACGGTTGGAGACGTGTTCCGGCGCACTTGCTTGTTCCAACCCAGTTCGAGGGCGAGCTGAACGTGACATGCCGAGTCTTGCTTCACTCTTGCGCTTGCCAGTATGCTTGGAGACGGTTTGACGCACGTCGTCCTCGTTGATCGCCAGGAGGTCGAGGTCCAACTCCGCATCTTCATCATCGTCACTTGGTCGGTCCATCGAAAAGTCAAAAGTCGATTCGTCGAAGGTGATGTCACGACTGATCACCACTTGGCCCGCCTCAATGTCGTACACTCGATAAGCTTTTGACGCTTCCTCGTAGCCCATGAACATCCCTTCACGAGCCTTCGGGTCCCACTTCAATCGCTTCTCCCTTGGTGTCAGGATAAACGCCCGACATCCAAACACGCGCATGTGCTTGACACTTGGTTTCGACTTGTACACGATCTCGAACGGAGTCTTGTGGTCGATCTTGGGTGAAGGCAGGCGGTTCTTGATGTAGATCGCCGTCATTGCCGCTTCAGCCCAGAAACACTTCTCCAGCTTTGCATGATGCAACAAGCTGCGTCCGATCGTGACGATGGTCCTTATCGCGCGTTCTGCGGTGCCGTTGGTCTGGTGTGCATACGGCACCGTGATCTGTTGTTCGATACCATGATCTTCGTAGAAGGTCTTGATGGAGTTGGTCGCAAACTCATGCGCTCCATCGTGCCGAACAAACTTGATCTTCGTGCCGAACTGAGTTTGAATCTTGATAATGTGGTTCTTGATACAGTCTCCACTCTCAGACTTGGACCGCAGACAGAAGCCCTTCATGCAACCGCTGGCTTCGTCAACCACAAGCAGTAAGTATCTGCTGCCGCCGATCGAGACTTGTTCCATTGGCCCGCAGATGTCGAAGTGCAGCAACTCGAACATACCATATTGGCGTTTGTCACGGTTGGTTGGGAATGGTTTTTGGACCATCTTTCCTTGCTGGCAACCGCGACATACACTTGGACCAGTCGAGTTGAGAGGTGCCTTGGCGTCCTTGATCATGCCAGTGGCCACCATCTTGCGCAGAACTTCGAGGGGTGCATGACCCATGCGCGCATGCAAGTCGATGGTCCCATTGCGTGTTGCTGCATTTGCCGATCGTTGAGGAGTCCGCAGCCAGTAAAGTCCATCGACGAGATCCGCTGTTGCCACGACTTGTGTGGAATTCTTGCGCTTCACTTGCATCTTGGATCCATCGAACACGACTTGGAACCTGCCACCCTTGTTGATCTGTGGTACCGAAAGCAGATTCTTGCTCATACTTGGTACGAACAGTGCGTCCTTGATCTCGATGTCGCGTTCGTCACCATTGGGCAGAACCACCCGTTCCATGATGGTTCCCACACCCTTGATCGCAGCCTTGCTGCCATCAGCCACTGATAGTTCGCCTTCCTCTCGCTCATTCAGGCTTGCAAACTTGGCCTTGTCGTTGCAGATGTGATGCGTCGCACCGCTGTCGACTGCCCACATCCCTGGCATATTCTTGCCCGTCGAAAGTCCAGCCTCCAGCGAAACCGCGAACGCAACTCGATCGTAGTTGTCGTCGTTGCTGTTGTTGGTTCGCCACTGAACGTTGTTGGCTCCGCGTCCACGAGCATTGTTGCCGCCGCGTCGAGCTCCACCTTGATTTTCGTCCTTCTGCTTGGTCCAGCACCGCTCTGCCGTGTGCCCCAATTTTCCGCAGTATGTACATTGGCGAGGTTCACGCTCGGTACTGAACGCCTTCGCCGCGTCTTCAGTCTTCACCGATGTCGTCTTGTCACCTTGCCTCTTGATGTGCTCATTTGTGAGCACTCTCAAGACGTCTCGCGACCGCAGTGCCGCGCTGCTCATCTCCAAGTTCAGCACGACGTTCTCGTAGCTCTTGGGGAGGCTGCGCAACAAGCAGATCGCCACGTCCTCGTCCTCCATCTTGGCGCCGATGCTGCTGAGCTTCGCGCTGATGTTGAGGACTTCGTTGCAATGATGCATCACATTGCCGCCTTCCGCCATCTCCATGCTGAACAGCTGGCGCTTCAAGTAGATGCGTCCAGCCTTCTGCGACCCGCCGTACAGCGTCTTCAAGCGCGCCCACGCGACCCACGCCTCTTCACAGTCATCAACCACGTGATGATAATCCGCGCTCATGTGCAGCAGCATCAAGCCGAACGCAATGTTGTTCGTCTTGACGTAGTCGTCACTGGCGCGAGGATCGGCGAAGGTGGGGGTGGTCTCCCGGTTCACCACGTGCCACGCCGACTTGGTCAGGAACACGCCACGCATGTAGCGGCTCCACGTCGCGTAGTTGTTGCCGTCGAACTTGTCGATGGAGATCTTGGTGGTGGCATCATGAGCAGAGGACATCGTGCTTGGGCTCATAACCTGTTGATTGGTAAAAAGCTTGACGACCGAAATTGGGAGTGATGCTGGGAGTCTACTCGGAAGACCGGAAAAGACACTTGGGGGGTAGATGGAAGATTCGAAAGTGATTGATTATCGGGACTTACTACTTACTACATGATTTATATGTGGTGTACATATAAATCATGTGAAGCGTCTCATCATCCTACGCGTCTAATCAACTATGGTAATTACCGTAAGAACTACGTCGTAAATACTAAGCTGAACAGGCGGTTCGGATTGGACCGGTCACGGTTACCAATACTGGTAGAAAAACGATGACCGTCAACACGCCCCCTCAATCCGAATGCTCACGAATCCCGAGAGCCGTCGTCATCTCCTTGTGGTGTGGTCCATGAAGTCCCTTCGTCATGATGTCCGCTAAAATCACCGCAGTTTCACAGTACTTGAGCTTCACTTCACCGCGCTTGACCTCATCACGGATGTGATGGTACTTGATATCAATGTGCTTGGCACGGCCGTGGTTGACCGGGTTCTTCGTCATCTTGATACATGACTGATTGTCTTCATGAATCATGAGTTCCGGTCCTTCTTCATTGGCAGCCATCACGATCTCACAAAGCAGACGATGAATCCACTTGCCCTCTTGAATCGCCAAGCTGAGTGCGATGTATTCAGCTTCAGTCGTGGACAACGAAACACTTGGCTGCTTCTTGCTGCCCCAACTCACTGGCGCACCGAGTAGCATGAACGTGTACCCCGATGTTGACTTGCGGTCGGTAAGTTCACCAGCCCAATCCGCATCCGAATATCCACGGAAGTCGATCCTTGCACTTGGCTTGTAGCAAATTCCATGCGTCTTAGTGCCTTGTAGGTAGCGAAAGATACGCTTAACTGCAACCCAGTGTTCTTCTTGGGGATTTTCCATGAACCGCGACACATAGCCCACAGCAAACGCAATGTCCGGACGCGTTGCAGTGGTCAGGTGCATCAACGCACCAACAGCTTCGCGAAAAGGAGCATCGACCTTGGTAGTTGCATCACTTGAAACAAGTCGAGAGCTCATGTCGACTGGACTTGCGACTGCCTTGCAATCATCCATGCCAAAGCGCTTGAGGATATCATCGACATACCGACGCTGACATAGTGTCACACTGCCATCTTCACCGTCCAAAAGCTCGATCCCAAGAACAAACGCACACTTGCCGCTGTCCGTCATCTCGAACCGCGTCTTCAGGTCGTTCTTGGTTTGTGCAATCAGCTCGAGCGAGCTTCCAGTCACCAAGACGTCGTCCACGTAGACCAGTATAAACACGCAATGGCCGTCCGATGTCTTGATGTAGAGACATGGGTCAAAGCCTGACACTTGAAATCCAATGGAACACACATACTCGTCGAACGTCTCGTTCCACACTCGCGAAGCTTGCTTGAGGCCGTAAATTGACTTCACCAATTCCAGGCAGTCGAACGTACTGTCAAGTTCGACGCCTTCAGGAATCACGCAGAACACTTGTTCATTCATGACGCCAAACAGGAAAGCTGTCACCACATCAAGCTGGTCGATGGGCCATCCAAAATGCTTGGAAATTGCGATCACCATTCTCAGCGTCACATACTTGACCACGGACGAAAACGTCTCCGTGTAGTTGATGCCATACTTTTGGCGGAAGCCCTTGGCCACAAGTCGTGCCTTGTACTTCTCGATTGATGCGTCCGCTTTTCGCTTGATCTTGAACACCCATTTTGTGCCAATGGCGCGTTGTCCGTTGGGCAGCTTGGCTGCACGAAACACACCGCGAAGTCGCATTGACTCGAGCTCTGCATGAATTGCTTTTCTCCAGTGCACTTGGTCAGGGCCGCTTACTGCTGCTTCAAATGTTGAGGGCTCTGATAAGTCCACTGCTGCTTCAACGGCATTTGCACTCGCACGCCAAAACACAGGCGGTGTTGAATCACCAGAATCCTTCGTTTCTTCGTCTTCTTCTTGGCGTGACGAGTTGTTTTCCGGCGCGTTTGACTCTTCTAGTCCTGGTCGTTGACGCACTGCACGCGGTCGTGGGGCTGCTGTATCTTCATCATTGAGTCGGTTCTTGCGCTTGCCTGTTTGCTTGTACTCCATTTGACGCAGCTCTTCGTCATCAAGATCCAGCAATTTGAAGTCCAGGTCATCGACATCTTCATCAGTGATCGGCAGTTGAAGTCCAAAGGTGGACTCGTCGAAGTTGACATCGCGGCTGATAACCACCTGCCCCGCCTCGATGTCATAAACACGATATGCCTTCGAAACTTCTTCGTAGCCCACGAATATGCCAGCGCGAGCCTTTGGATCCCACTTGAGTCGATTCTCTTTAGGCGTCAGTATGTATGTCTGACACCCGAATGTTCGCATGTGCTTGACGCTTGGTTTCAAGTTGTAGACGATCTCAAACGGGGTCTTGTGCACGACTTTAGGTGACGGCAGTCGATTCTTGACGTAGATGGCCGTCATCGCTGCTTCGGCCCAGAAAAACTTGTCCAGTTTGGCATGATGAAGCATGCTGCGGCCGATCGTGACAACAGTCCTAATGGCACACTCTGCTGTTCCGTTTGTTTGATGTGCATACGGCACCGTTGTCTGCTGTTCAATGCCTTAGTCTTCGTAGAACAGCTGAAGCGAGTTGGTTGCAAACTCGCGAGCTCCGTCGTGTCGCACGAACTTGACCTTCTTACAGAATTGCGTCTGTACCATGGTGATATATTTCCGGATGTAGTCTTCACTCTCGGACTTCACTCGTAGACAAAAGCCCTTCATGCATCCACTGGCTTCGTCGATGATCAGCAGCAAATATTTGCTGCCACCAAGCGAATCCTTTTCCATGGGCCCGCAGATGTCCAGATGAAGTAGAACTGTTGACGGTCATCGGTTTTCTACCAGTATTGGTAACCGTGACCGGTCCAATCCGAACCGCCTGTTCAGCCTAGTATTTACGACGTAGTTCTTACGGTAATTACCATAGTTGATTAGACGCGTAGGATGATGAGACGCTTCACATGATTTATATGTGGACCACATATAAATCATGTAGTAAGTAGTAAGCCCCGATAATCAATCACTTTCGAATCTTCCAACTTCAGAGCAAGTGTTTTCTGCTCCACTCCCTTCGGTCTCTCCGCTCCGTTCGCTCCGCTTTCCTCGCTCCGATCTACAATGCAACAGGTTATGAGCCCAAGTGCCATGTCGTCCACCAGCAACGCCTCCATTGACAAGTTCAACGGAGACAATTACGCAACGTGGAGCCGGTACATGCGCGGTGTGTTTTTGACGAAGTCCGTCTGGCACGTCGTCAACCGTGAAGTGACTCCGACTTTCACCGACCCGCGAGCGTCCGATGACTACGTCAAGGCAAGCAACGTCGCGTTTGGTATGATGCTGCTGCACATGAACGCGGACTACCATCATGTGCTGGACAACTGCGAGGAAGCCTGGGTTGCGTGGACCAGTCTGAAGACGCTGTACGGTGGGTCGCAGAAGGCAGGACGCATCTACCTCAAGCGACAACTTTTCAGCATCAAGATGGCTGAAGGCGCGAACGTCATGCATCACTGCAACGAGGTCCTCAACATCTCCGCCAAGCTTAGCGGCATCGGTGCGAAGATGGAAGACGAAGACGTTGCAATTTGTCTGCTACTCAGTCTTCCGAAGAGCTACGAAAATGTGGTACTCAACATGGAAATGAGCAGCACCGAGCTTCGCACTCAAGATGTGGTGAGAGTCCTGACGAATGAGCATGCCAAGCGTCAAGGAGAAAAAGGGACAACGACAGCGACTACGGTGAAGGCTGAAGATGCAAGCAAGGCATTCAGCGCCGAGCGTGAGCCCTACCAATGCACGTATTGTGGCAAGGTGGGATACACGGTGGATCGTTGCTGGACAAAGCAGAAGAACGAAGGTCGGGGGAGCCCGACGCGGCGGCAATGGTCGTGGACGCGGGGCTAACAATGTCCAGTGGGGACATCATGATGAAGGCAATGGCTACGATCGAGTGGCGTTTGCAGTCTCGTTCGAATGTGGAGTTTCGACGAGCAAGGACGTGTCTGGAATGTGGGCCGTCGACAGTGGTGCAACGCACCACATTTGCCACGACAAGACCAAGTTCGCAAGTTTGGCAGAGCGCAATGAGGGCGAACTCTTGGTGGATGATGGCAACAAGGTGGCCATCAAGGGTGTGGGAACCATAATGGAAAAGGTGGTTCTGCCCAACGGTGAAGAGCGTGAGATCGAAATCAAGAACGCGCTATATGTTCCAAGTATGAGCAAGAACCTGCTCTCGGTGCCACAGATTAACAGCCATGGCAAGTTTCAAGTCGTGTTTGACGGGTCCAAGATGTATGTGACTCTCAAGAACTCACAGCAAGTGGTGGCGACAGCGGATCTCGTGGATGGACTCTACTGGCTTCGGACGACTCAACGATCAGCGAATGTGACAACAAGTGGAACCAGTTGTGCCGATCTACATGCGAGAATGGGTCATGCTCCAGTCGATGTACTTCTCAAGATGATCGCGACCAACATGATCAAGGATGTGCGAGTCCCTCTCAAGTCGGGTGGAGCAACTACATGTCGAGGATGTCAACAAGGGAAAATGGTCCAAAAACCATTTCCAAGCAACCGAGACAAGCGCAGCTACGATACGTTTGAGCTGCTTCATCTGGACATCTGCGGGCCCATGGAAAAGGATTCGCTCGGTGGCAGCAAATATTTGCTGCTGATCATCGACGAAGCCAGTGGATGCATGAAGGGCTTTTGTCTACGAGTGAAGTCCGAGAGTGAAGACTACATCCGGAAATATATCACCATGGTACAGACGCAATTCTGTAAGAAGGTCAAGTTCGTGCGACACGACGGAGCTCGCGAGTTTGCAACCAACTCGCTTCAACTGTTCTACGAAGACGAAGGCATTGAACAGCAGACAACGGTGCCGTATGCACATCAAACAAACGGAACAGCAGAGCGTGCCATTAGGACTATTGTCACGATCGGCCGCAGCATGCTTCATCATGCCAAACTGGACAAGTGTTTCTGGGCCGAAGCAGCGATGACGGCCATCTACGTCAAGAATCGACTGCCGTCACCTAAAGTCGTGCACAAGACCCCGTTTGAGATCGTCTACAACTTGAAACCAAGCGTCAAGCACATGCGAACATTCGGGTGTCAGACATACATACTGACGCCTAAAGAGAATCGACTCAAGTGGGATCCAAAGGCTCGCGCTGGCATATTCGTGGGCTACGAAGAAGTTTCGAAGGCATATCGTGTTTATGACATCGAGGCGGGGCAGGTGGTTATCAGCCGCGATGTCAACTTCGACGAGTCCACCTTTGGACTTCAACTGCCGATCACTGATGAAGATGTCGATGACCTGGACTTCGAATTGCTGGATCTTGATGACGAAGAGCTGCGTCAAATGGAGTACAAGCAAACAGGCAAGCGCAAGAACCGACTCAATGATGAAGATACAGCAGCTCCACGACCGCGTGCAGTGCGTCAACGACCAGGACTAGAAGAGTCAAGCGCGCCGGAAAACAACTCGTCACGCCAAGAAGAAGACGAAGAAACGAAGGATTCTGGTGATTCAACACCGCCTGTGTTTTGGCGTGCGAGTGCAAATGCCGTTGAAGCAGCAGTGGACTTATCAGAGCCCTCAACATTTGAAGCAGCAGTAAGCGGCCCTGACCAAGTGCACTGGAGAAAAGCAATTCATGCAGAGCTCGAGTCAATGCGACTTCGCGGTGTGTTTCGTGCAGCCAAGCTGCCCAACGGACAACGCGCCATTGGCACAAAATGGGTGTTCAAGATCAAGCGTAAAGCGGATGGATCCATCGAGAAGTACAAGGCACGTCTCGTGGCAAAGGGTTTTCGCCAGAAGTATGGAATCGACTACACGGAGACGTTTTCGCCCGTGGTCAAGTATGTGACGCTGAGAATGGTGATCGCAATTTCCAAGCATTTTGGATGGCCCATCGACCAGCTTGATGTGGTGACAGCTTTCCTGTATGGCGTCATGAAGGAACAAGTATTCTGCGTGATTCCTGAAGGCGTCGAACTTGACAGTACGTTCGACTGCCTGGAATTGGTGAAGGCAATTTACGGCCTGAAGCAAGCTTTGCGAGTATGGAACGAGACTTTTGACGAGTGTGTGTTCCATTGGATTTCAAGTGTCAGGCTTCGACCCATGTCTCTACATCAAGACATCGGACGGCCATTGCGTGTTTATACTGGTCTATGTGGATGACGTGTTGGTGACAGGAAGCTCACCCAAGTTGATTGCACACACCAAGGAAGACCTGAAGACACGCTTCGAGATGACTGATAGCGGCAAGTGTGCGTTTGTTCTTGGGATCGAGCTTTTGGACGGTGAAGATGGCAGTGTGACACTATGTCAGCGTCGGTATGTCGATGATATCCTCAAGCGCTTTGGCATGGATGATTGCAAGGCAGTCGCAAGTCCAGTCGACATGAGCTCTCGACTTGTTTCAAGTGATGCAACTACCAAGGTCGATGCTCCTTTTCGCGAAGCTGTTGGTGCGTTGATGCACCTGACCACTGCAACGCGTCCGGACATTGCGTTTGCTGTGGGCTATGTGTCGCGGTTCATGGAAAATCCCCAAGAAGAACACTGGGTTGCAGTTAAGCGTATCTTTCGCTACCTACAAGGCACCAAGACGCATGGAATTTGCTACAAGCCAAGTGCAAGGATCGACTTCCGTGGATATTCGGATGCGGATTGGGCTGGTGATCTTACCGACCGCAAGTCAACATCGGGGTACACGTTCATGCTACTCGGTGCGCCAGTGAGTTGGGGCAGCAAGAAGCAGCCAAGTGTTTCGTTGTCCACGACTGAAGCTGAATACATCGCACTCAGCTTGGCGATTCAAGAGGGCAAGTGGATTCATCGTCTGCTTTGTGAGATCGTGATGGCTGCCAATGAAGAAGGACCGGAACTCATGATTCATGAAGACAATCAGTCATGTATCAAGATGACGAAGAACCCGGTCAACCACGGCCGTGCCAAGCACATTGATATCAAGTACCATCACATCCGTGATGAGGTCAAGCGCGGTGAAGTGAAGCTCAAGTATTGTGAAACTGCGGTGATGTTAGCGGACATCATGACGAAGGGACTTCATGGACCACGCCACAAGGAGATGACGACGGCTCTCGGGATTCGTGAGCATTCGGATTGAGGGGGCGTGTTGACGGTCATCGGTTTTCTACCAGTGTTGGTAACCGTGACCGGTCCAATCCGAACCGCCTGTTCAGCCTAGTATTTACGACGTAGTTCTTACGGTAATTACCATAGTTGATTAGACGCGTAGGATGATGAGACGCTTCACATGATTTATATGTACACCACATATAAATCATGTAGTAAGTAGTAAGTCCCGATAATCAATCACTTTCGAATCTTCCAACTATTGGGCAAGTGTTTTCTGCTCTACTCTCTTCGGTCTCTCCGCTCCGTTCGCTCCGCTTTCCTCGCTCCGATCTACAATGCAACAGGTTATGAGCCCAAGCGCCATGTCGTCCACCAGCAACGCCTCCATTGACAAGTTCAACGGAGACAATTACGCAACGTGGAGCCGGTACATGCGCGGTGTGTTTTTGACGAAGTCCGTCTGGCACGTCGTCAACCGTGAAGTGACTCCGACTTTCACCGACCCGCGAGCGTCCGATGACTACGTCAAGGCAAGCAACGTCGCGTTTGGTATGATGCTGCTGCACATGAACGCGGACTACTATCATGTGCTGGACAACTGCGAGGAAGCCTGGGTTGCGTGGACCAGTCTGAAGACGCTGTACGGTGGGTCGCAGAAGGCAGGACGCATCTACCTCAAGCGACAACTTTTCAGCATCAAGATGGCTGAAGGCGCGAACGTCATGCATCACTGCAACGAGGTCCTCAACATCTCCGCCAAGCTTAGCGGCATCGGTGCGAAGATGGAAGACGAAGACGTTGCAATTTGTCTGCTACTCAGTCTTCCGAAGAGCTACGAAAATGTGGTACTCAACATGGAAATGAGCAGCACCGAGCTTCGCACTCAAGATGTGGTGAGAGTCCTGACGAATGAGCATGCCAAGCGTCAAGGAGAAAAAGGGACAACGACAGCGACTACGGTGAAGGCTGAAGATGCAAGCAAGGCATTCAGCGCCGAGCGTGAGCCCTACCAATGCACGTATTGTGGCAAGGTGGGACACACGGTGGATCGTTGCTGGACAAAGCAGAAGAACGAAGGTCGGGGAGCCCGACGCGGCGGCAATGGTCGTGGACGCGGGGCTAACAATGTCCAGTGGGGACATCATGATGAAGGCAATGGCTACGATCGAGTGGCGTTTGCAGTCTCGTTCGAATGTGGAGTTTCGACGAGCAAGGACGTGTCTGGAATGTGGGCCGTCGACAGTGGTGCAACGCACCACATTTGCCACGACAAGACCAAGTTCGCAAGTTTGGCAGAGCGCAATGAGGGCGAACTCTTGGTGGCTGATGGCAACAAGGTGGCCATCAAGGGTGTGGGAACCATCATGGAAAAGGTGGTTCTGCCCAACGGTGAAGAGCGTGAGATCGAAATCAAGAACGCGCTATATGTTCCAAGTATGAGCAAGAACCTGCTCTCGGTGCCACAGATTAACAGCCATGGCAAGTTTCAAGTCGTGTTTGACGGGTCCAAGATGTATGTGACTCTCAAGAACTCACAGCAAGTGGTGGCGACAGCGGATCTCGTGGATGGACTCTACTGGCTTCGGACGACTCAACGATCAGCGAATGTGACAACAAGTGGAACCAGTTGTGCCGATCTACATGCGAGAATGGGTCATGCTCCAGTCGATGTACTTCGCAAGATGATCGCGACCAACATGATCAAGGATGTGCGAGTCCCTCTCAAGTCGGGTGGAGCAACTACATGTCGAGGATGTCAACAAGGGAAAATGGTCCAAAAACCATTTCCAAGCAACCGAGACAAGCGCAGCTACGATACGTTTGAGCTGCTTCATCTGGACATCTGCGGGCCCATGGAAAAGGATTCGCTCGGTGGCAGCAAATATTTGCTGCTGATCATCGACGAAGCCAGTGGATGCATGAAGGGCTTTTGTCTACGAGTGAAGTCCGAGAGTGAAGACTACATCCGGAAATATATCACCATGGTACAGACGCAATTCTGTAAGAAGGTCAAGTTCGTGCGACACGACGGAGCTCGCGAGTTTGCAACCAACTCGCTTCAACTGTTCTACGAAGACGAAGGCATTGAACAGCAGACAACGGTGCCGTATGCACATCAAACAAACGGAACAGCAGAGCGTGCCATTAGGACTATTGTCACGATCGGCCGCAGCATGCTTCATCATGCCAAACTGGACAAGTGTTTCTGGGCCGAAGCAGCGATGACGGCCATCTACGTCAAGAATCGACTGCCGTCACCTAAAGTCGTGCACAAGACCCCGTTTGAGATCGTCTACAACTTGAAACCAAGCGTCAAGCACATGCGAACATTCGGATGTCAGACGTACATACTGACGCCTAAAGAGAATCGACTCAAGTGGGATCCAAAGGCTCGCGCTGGCATATTCGTGGGCTACGAAGAAGTTTCGAAGGCATATCGTGTTTATGACATCGAGGCGGGGCAGGTGGTTATCAGCCGCGATGTCAACTTCGACGAGTCCACCTTTGGACTTCAACTGCCGATCACTGATGAAGATGTCGATGACCTGGACTTCGAATTGCTGGATCTTGATGACGAAGAGCTGCGTCAAATGGAGTACAAGCAAACAGGCAAGCGCAAGAACCGACTCAATGATGAAGATACAGCAGCTCCACGACCGCGTGCAGTGCGTCAACGACCAGGACTAGAAGAGTCAAGCGCGCCGGAAAACAACTCGTCACGCCAAGAAGAAGACGAAGAAACGAAGGATTCTGGTGATTCAACACCGCCTGTGTTTTGGCGTGCGAGTGCAAATGCCGTTGAAGCAGCAGTGGACTTATCAGAGCCCTCAACATTTGAAGCAGCAGTAAGCGGCCCTGACCAAGTGCACTGGAGAAAAGCAATTCATGCAGAGCTCGAGTCAATGCGACTTCGCGGTGTGTTTCGTGCAGCCAAGCTGCCCAACGGACAACGCGCCATTGGCACAAAATGGGTGTTCAAGATCAAGCGTAAAGCGGATGGATCCATCGAGAAGTACAAGGCACGTCTTGTGGCAAAGGGTTTTCGCCAGAAGTATGGAATCGACTACACGGAGACGTTTTCGCCCGTGGTCAAGTATGTGACGCTGAGAATGGTGATCGCAATTTCCAAGCATTTTGGATGGCCCATCGACCAGCTTGATGTGGTGACAGCTTTCCTGTATGGCGTCATGAAGGAACAAGTGTTCTGCGTGATTCCTGAAGGCGTCGAACTTGACAGTACGTTCGACTGCCTGGAATTGGTGAAGGCAATTTACGGCCTGAAGCAAGCTTTGCGAGTATGGAACGAGACTTTTGACGAGTGTGTGTTCCATTGGATTTCAAGTGTCAGGCTTCGACCCATGTCTCTACATCAAGACATCGGACGGCCATTGCGTGTTTATACTGGTCTATGTGGATGACGTGTTGGTGACAGGAAGCTCACCCAAGTTGATTGCACACACCAAGGAAGACCTGAAGACACGCTTCGAGATGACTGATAGCGGCAAGTGTGCATTTGTTCTTGGGATCGAGCTTTTGGACGGTGAAGATGGCAGTGTGACACTATGTCAGCGTCGGTATGTCGATGATATCCTCAAGCGCTTTGGCATGGATGATTGCAAGGCAGTCGCAAGTCCAGTCGACATGAGCTCTCGACTTGTTTCAAGTGATGCAACTACCAAGGTCGATGCTCCTTTTCGCGAAGCTGTTGGTGCGTTGATGCACCTGACCACTGCAACGCGTCCGGACATTGCGTTTGCTGTGGGCTATGTGTCGCGGTTCATGGAAAATCCCCAAGAAGAACACTGGGTTGCAGTTAAGCGTATCTTTCGCTACCTACAAGGCACTAAGACGCATGGAATTTGCTACAAGCCAAGTGCAAGGATCGACTTCCGTGGATATTCGGATGCGGATTGGGCTGGTGATCTTACCGACCGCAAGTCAACATCGGGGTACACGTTCATGCTACTCGGTGCGCCAGTGAGTTGGGGCAGCAAGAAGCAGCCAAGTGTTTCGTTGTCCACGACTGAAGCTGAATACATCGCACTCAGCTTGGCGATTCAAGAGGGCAAGTGGATTCATCGTCTGCTTTGTGAGATCGTGATGGCTGCCAATGAAGAAGGACCGGAACTCATGATTCATGAAGACAATCAGTCATGTATCAAGATGACGAAGAACCCGGTCAACCACGGCCGTGCCAAGCACATTGATATCAAGTACCATCACATCCGTGATGAGGTCAAGCGCGGTGAAGTGAAGCTCAAGTATTGTGAAACTGCGGTGATGTTAGCGGACATCATGACGAAGGGACTTCATGGACCACGCCACAAGGAGATGACGACGGCTCTCGGGATTCGTGAGCATTCGGATTGAGGGGCGTGTTGACGGTCATCGGTTTTCTACCAGTGTTGGTAACCGTGACCGGTCCAATCCGAACCGCCTGTTCAGCTTAGTATTTACGACGTAGTTCTTACGGTAATTACCATAGTTGATTAGACGCGTAGGATGATGAGACGCTTCACATGATTTATATGTACACCACATATAAATCATGTAGTAAGTAGTAAGCCCCGATAATCAATCACTTTCGAATCTTCCAACTATTGGGCAAGTGTTTTCTGCTCTACTCTCTTCGGTCTCTCCGCTCCGTTCGCTCCGCTTTCCTCGCTCCGATCTACAATGCAACA